GGGAAGTTTCATGCTTTTATCACAAAACGAACAATTCTGGTTATTTTTGGCTCTTAACAGCAGGACTATAGGTACGGAGAATCTTTTTACGAACTTTTATTTCTTGGACTACTGTCTTGCACCTTCTCCGTCTAACTTCTACTGCTGCTTCTACTCTAAAGTACTTGACTAGCAAATGCACACGCACTTAAATACCTTTATCGATAGCTATGTGTGGGCTCGACGGGGCGAACTGATCTTGGAGGATTAGATAACTTTTTTTAGGAAACTAATAACTCAATCAGTTGGACGCAAAGCTCTTGTAACAATCAATAGAAAGTTTAAAGGACAACAAACCTCTAGGGTTTTAGAAACAGGATCTTTGAGGGAGATTCAGACCAGGGCCAGCCTGAGTAGACAAACCCAAACGGGGTAATGTTCGGAGCTTAAGTATTCTCGATGAACTAATATAAACATCTTGAAGTCAAAAGACTCACTGCGGTTTGGACAGTCGGGTCCTAGAATCACAAGAAGACTAACGTGATAACTACAAAAGTATGATTAAAATGGGTAGACAGACCTGCACGACTCCTGCTGTGTGGCTATTGCGTTGTTCAAAGTTTTGCTGTTAAAAGCATGTCTTTAAACAATTTTTCTTTTCCATAAGAGATCAAGGGTGGCCTCTTGAATAGCTCTCTGATTAATGGCTTGTTTTTTATTAAATGCCATTTGTACGTGATTAAGCCTTTTAAATTTGGTAATGAGAGTTGAAATTACGTGACAAAAGGGTAAAAGTTTCTTTAGCGTTCTTGTTTTCTGTTTTAGAGCTTCTTTTCTGTCTTTATATTTAACTTCTGAGAGGGTCTTTTCTACCATTTGCTCAGGGTAGCCTCTCGAGATAAGACTTGTTTTAAAATCTTAAAAGTTCTCTTCGAATGTAACCTTTGAAGAGTTTGTTCTAGGAAGCCTGAGAGCTTCACCTTGACAAAACCTTTTTTGACGCCTGCTTTTGAGGTGAGTGTGCCTGCTCAATGAAAAGTTCTATACATCTTCTTTGTTTGTGTCCCACAAACAGAAGATGTCGTCAATAAACCCTTTCCATGCAAGTGGTTTATTTGTGTTCTGCCTCAAGATAGCTTGTTCTATTTTTGCTATAAAAATATTGGCAAAAGCAACGAGCGCTTTCGTGCCCATTACTGTTCCGTGTATTTGAAGATGAATTGGAAAAAATTCTCTTTAAGAATGAGGCTGAGCGTTCAAATTTCTTTTGACTTTCTCTCGCCACGCTTCTCCCTATTTTTTCGTTCGCCGTTTTTCGTGCTGCGCCCCAATTAACTGAACGCCTGGAAGAGGCTTACCGTCATTACCAAATTTGAAAGGCACAATGACAATCACGGATAAATGGCATTTAATACAAAACCAGCTAGAGATATTCAAGGAGCCACCCTTGATTTCTCAAAGAAAAGAAAAATCGCTTAGAAATTAACCTAACTTGGTTAAAAGATCTACCGTTCTTCTATTAATTAATTTCGATGGTAACCGTTAACCCGGTAACGGTTACCGTGGAAACTGCCGAAATTAGCGGCCGCAGCACGATTTTTCGGTAACCCGCAGTTAATCGTAATTGGCTAATTAGAAATAACCCGGTTAACTCCCATGATAGTGCGGCCGTGGCTCTGGAGAGGAGGACTCCGGTATAAAAAGAAATTTTGAAAAAAACCGTAAAAAGTACCAAGATCCTGTTTTGTGGGCGTGGTTTGAAATTTTTCTTACCCCTAAGAGGTACCAATCCGAAAACAAAGCGTTATCTCCTGTCATATTTTTTTTGGCTCAACACCCTAAAAGGTACCGCAATAGCTTCCGCTGTGGACCTTTTGAGGCTGAACACTATAAGATGTACCAATCCACTTTTTAAACCCCTAAAAGGTACGACGAGCACCCCGTCCCTTTTATATGGGAGTCTCTCCCCCCGACCCGTCCCCCGCGCCGCGGCCAATAGGAACAGTTAAAAGTTATCCCGGTATTTGGTTCCCAAGAGTTTTGACAGCTTGTTGTTTTTAGTAGTGAGAGATTCCTTTCTTTCAGAAAAACACTCGTAGATCACATATGGTCTACAGAGGAGACTTCTCTTGCGGTGACAGCTAGATCGGTGGAACCATGAGGAATGTGCAGGTGCGAATTAACACATGCAGAGACTCTGACCATGACTCCGAACCTGCCCGTCACACACGCGAGAACCCTTTGCATTCTCTTAGCTGTCGCATACTCTGCAAGGCCTTATCTTTTCACTGGCGAAGAATCCTAGAAGGCCTAATTATCCAACAATGGCAACCCAGCTTGAGCAAACAAATTCACTGTTACATGGCGAAACTGTTCTCATCGGGAATTACCTAACGGATATAAATTATGCGAGTAGCAGACGGCATGGAGATGAAATTATGTTGAAAACGTTTGGTGATTTACTTTTTTTAGCCATTTTTAAAAATTTTTAGCCTTGTAAATATTTTGTCATAACATTAAGCGAATTTTATAGGTATTTTTCATTAATCTTTTGATTGTTATGTCAATTTTTTTTGTCTTTGTATATGTGGACTTTCGCTGCATTCCTGTGTAAGGATTCTTCGCGTTCCTGTATAACCATTCTTTGCTTTCCTAATGTAAGATTCCTGTGAAGGGCGGTTCTGGAAACTCGCGGGTTAATCAATTTTGTCTACAAACGACAGGCATATATGTTGACTATCGCTCCATTCCTGTGTAAGAAACTCCTGTGTAACCATTC